GCCAGTGCCACCCTAGTGCTGGGACTTGGCAGGAGGCCAGCCTCCGGCAGAATCTGAAGAGCACCATGGGTTTAACTCATGTTCCTTCAGATACACCCCACAGATTGCCTGTGCTCCCCCAGGATACCGGGCACTGAGGCTCAGGGCTCTCTAGAGCCGGCACTTGGTTTCTGGGCACCCACTAGGAGAGACACTTTCCACTGTTAAGCCACAGCAAGTAGGAGAACTACTGAGTCCAGTGCAGGTCACAAATAGTGAATGAAAAGTCGTCCCCGCTTCAAGCAACTTAAAGGAGAATAAGTTGGGATAAAGCACCCGACCGACCGCGTGAGGAAAGGCCTGGCATCAGGCAAGCCATGGGTGTGTTAAAGAAAACAAGGGCTAGTTAAAAGGTGGCATTAGGGAGATGGGCAAATGAACTTTGCTCTTTTTGCAAATTACATAACATCTCAACACAGGTTATAAAACAGCAGGGTATGCTTCAGATACCACAGAAGCTCCTTTTTCTTCTTTTCCCCCACTTTTATACCTAGCGGATCAGTAAAAGTTTGTAGAACAGTGTTTTAAATGCTGAGAGAAGCCAGCAGCTTGTTCCAGTCTCTGACTCAGTTAAGCTCTTACAATATTTTGACTGTTGGAAGAAAATTAATAATGGGATGCTAGGCGGTTAGATTAACTGAAACTAAATATCAACATGGCTAGATTTATTTTTGGATGACTGAGCTCATCCCTTCAAAGAACAGAAACAGGACTCATAATATCATGAGTTATTAACTTACACAACACCAGAACAGCCCCGAAAGCAGCAGAGAGAACCACATGCATTTAACGATTACGTAAGAGATGGAAGTTGAGATGTCCCATTAGTGAAGATTTAGAGTGTGGGGCTAGCTGATTCCCAAGGCCACAGACACCAGAGGACACTAAGCCAGGAGCTTGTCCTGCTGGTTTCAGCATCCAATTGGTTCCAGATGCCCCAGTCCTTCCCTCCTGCAGAGTCCGAGGGCTCCCTCCCGATTCTAGCCAGTGTGGACAAGTCAAGACGCTTTTCCTTCTGCCAGTCAGCTAACACTTACTGTGCCACTGTCTGTCCTTGTAGCCTACCTCCCTTCTACGCATGTGCTACTTGTGGGTGTCTGATCACAAGAAAACTTGACTGTGTCAGATATGACCAGGGCTGACAGTGACAGCTCCTACTGAGGAGGGACCTGAAGCCCCGGGCTTCTATGACCCACAAGGAAGCACTGGTTTGGTTTAAATGAACCAAACTGACCTTAATTGCTGAAAATAGAAGCCTCAAAAACTGTCAAGCCTCTTATTCTCCTTACCCCTTCTGCAGGGTGGAGAGACTGCTGAGAGCAGCCTTTGGCTCCCCTGGGCCATTGATTGGTGAGTGGGGACACCCACACCAACACGGGATCCCTGAAACCTGCCTTCTGTCCATGGGCTGCCTGCAGCTTTTCTAGGCAGACGCACGCGCAATCCAAAGAAGCCATCTACATTCACATACCAAAGGCTGAAGACATTCCTGACAGGAAAACCTGAGGAACCAGAGCCACCTTCAGGAGCCATTTCTGGACCCCTCTGCATAGCGGTCACAGTGTGGAAGACACCACCGCTCCCCCAGCCCCCACCCCAGGGAGGGCCTGAACTCTTCTGAGGCCTGGACAGAGTTTAAAATTTTATCCTGGTGTGTGTGTGTGTGTGTGTGTGTGTGTGTGTGTGTGTGTGTGTGTGTGTGTGCATGTGTGTGTACATGTGTATGTGTGTACGTGTGTACGTGTGTGTGTACATACATTATTTAAAATACAAGTGTGGAAGTCACAGAAGGACCATAACATAACGAAGATGATGACAGAATGACCAGACAGGCTGTAAGACCCATCTCAGAGCAGCCCACACAGTAGGATATTGTTTTTATAATGCTCAAGACATCTTATCATTTAGGTATATCTGAAGGTAGCAGACTAAGCTTTAAAAGGACAGGGAAGTGCAGGGTGGAGGGGTTCTGGGCGCGCACTGGCTCTGTGATACTTCTCTCATCTTTGTGAGCTCCAGGGTTTATCACTGCTTTACCACTTACATGTATATTACTTATTTTTTGTATCTATCAAATTACATAGAGAAGTTTTTTAAAGTAAAAATTACCACATTACTGAGGCACTGGTGGCCCATGCCTGTAATCCTAGCTACTTAGGAAGCTGAGATCTGAGGATCAAGTTTGAAACCAGCCAGGCATGAAAGTCTGTGGGACTTAGCTCCAATTAACCACCAAAAAGCTGGAAGTGGAGCTGTGGCACTCAGTGAGCACAAAAAGCTCAAGGGACTACCATCCCAAGGCCTGCCAGACCCCAGATCATCCCTGCCACCAGGAGGACTGCATGCGGGGGCTGGGGGAGGGGGTTGGAACACAGCTGGAGTGGGAGGGCAGATAAGGGCCATAGAAGCCACAACCCGGTTCAGGCTGCTGTTCGTCTTGCAGTCTGCTGCTTTCTCCATCTCTGCCTCTTCCTTTTGGGAAATACTCCTTTCCCCTCCATGCACGTTGGGTGCAGCTGAGGCCTGACCCCCTTAGCACCCAACAGGGGGCTGGGGAGAACGCAACCCTGGCAGAGCAGCTTCCATAAAACAGCACTAGGTACAACAAAGCCGGCCCGCCCTTCCTCAGTGGAGCACAGGGGTCCCTGTCGGCTGCTTCAGGAGGAACACAGGCCTAGCTCTGCTCCAGCAAGGAGGGAAGGGGAGCTGGCACAGCAGCAGAGCTGCCTCAAGCCTGTTCTGCCCTGCTTCAGCAGCCGCCCAGCTGCCTCTCCCTGTCCATCCCACTTGCTCCCAAGCTTTCGAGAACTCACTTCTAGACTCATCTCCAGGGGACACTTCCACCTCTGGCCTGCGCTCCTGTGGCGGTACCACCCCCTTCAGACTCCAGCCTCTGCTGCTGAAGCAGAGGAAGAGGCAGCTAGCAAAGCGTGGCCCCAGGAGTTGACCTGATCTCCCTCCCAGGTGACAATCCTCTCTCACTCCTATCACAGGAGATGGTGTAAAAGACCTAGAGGGTTACAGCTTCATAGTGTGCATGCGCATGTGCCTGTGTGTACTCTGGTACTGGGGCTTGGCTTAAACTCAGAGCCTGGCACTTCTGCTTAGTTTGTTTGCTCCAGGCTGGTACACTACCACATCAGCCATATCCTCACGTCAAGCTTTTTGCTTGTTAGTTAGACATAAAGAGTTTTTCAGACTTTTCTTTGTGGGCTGGCTTTGAACCAGAATCCTCAGATCTCAGCCTCCTAAGTAGCTAGGATTATAGATCTGGGCCACCAGCACTGGTCAATAAAGACCATCTTTTAAAGTCAACTGAAGCAATTATGTTACAAGTGTGATTACCCACCTGACCATGAGCTGTAACTCCTCCAGCCACCTTTCCTCCTAGAGGCAAGCACATTGGCTGTGAATTTCCGTGCCAATGCACACAGTAACCACCAGCCAGATGTGAATTAGCCATGTGCAGAGGTAAAGCGGGGTACGTAACACGGACTCTTCATTTTGTGGCGCCCCCACATTCTCATGAGCTTGTTAGAGCAGAAGTTTCAAGAGAAAGTGGCCGAGGCCGACAAGTCAGTGGGACACAGAGCCTGCTTCTGCGTCCTCAGGTGCATGGGACGGGTCTGAGGCCTGCCTGCCTGAACGCCTGCACTCTCTGCTCGCTCCCGTCAATGCCAAGTCCCTACCTTCCTCACGAAATGGAAGCTCAATGACCCAGAAATAATTGAACAAACCTATTTCACTGGGGACATTTTCATTTTTATCTTCATTAACTCTTTGGCTCCTGCCAAGCAGACTGAGAGGAGGATTTATGTTTCCACGGTGGCCTTGGAGGATCTTTACATAGACAATTTGTACATTGAACAGAGACAGAAAACACTGCATATCTTGCAGACAGTCACCTCTTACACAAAGAAAATTGCTTTCTTTTTCTATCAAAAGAATACTGTGTTATCTCATTATCTTTATGTTTTAGCTGAAAGAATTTTGCAGAAAAGTAGCCTGTTACCCAAATGAACTTCACTAATGTTTTTCTCAAAAATGAAATATTACACACTTAAGAAACCCACGTCCTTTCTGTTGTTAGGAAAAACAAGTGTGTGCACACAACCAGCCTATTCTCCTAGAATGAATGAAGAGCGGCCTACCTGCGTGGCTGGCTATTTGCAGGGTTTACACAAGGAAAATGCAAAAGTAGGGGCGTTCACACTAAGTGCCCAGACAGGGCAGCAGCTACAGACTAGACAGATGCGGAGTGCCCTGCCTCCCTGACACCATCCTGATGGGGTCCTTCTTGCTCTATAAACTATGTGGCTTTGGCATGTGTGTCCGGGGCCCTTGCACTGGGCCCTATCCAGACATTAGGACACTTTTCTCATGGCCAAAGCCAGCTCTCTTTAAGGAGTAACATGATCTTACATCCTTAGCTCACTGGATTTCCAAAACATACTATCTTTGGTGAATTCATAAAAATACTAACATCATAGATGAGATTACAAGGCTGACTTTCTGAGAACGACAAAACTAGGAATAAAAAAAACAAACTAGGAATCACTGGTGACGAGGGCTCAGATACTTTCCCCCAACACATTAAGGATCTCATGTATGATTCCTACGAAGCTGGTCCTGTGGTTCTCTTTAGCTGAGCACTATCTTGCCAAATATACTTTGGATAATTTTAAAAAGAGATTTGTAAAAATGATGCTAGGGAGGTTTGCACAAGACCTGACTTGTATGAAATGACCTTAGCTTTCCTCTCTTGTTAACTCTCATGGGAGATTGCAATTTGCTCAAAAGAAAGGGTTCGGGTACAGAATTTTTAATGTCAGTAAAGAAACATGTTTGTCACCATAGAACTGGGATTTAATCTCCAGTCTATAGAACCCAGCACAGGGCCAAGAAAGGTAACTCTGAAGACAACTTCCTTCTGTATCCCCCAAAAGGTAAGTAGATCTTACCAGAAGCATTGCTGACGTCCCATTAGGTCTGGATAAGTGGATGGACATTTCAGGAAACATCCTGTCGATGCGGCTGATGACATCATCCACATATCTAGGTGGAAAGGAACACACACGTATGAATGTGAGCAGCACAAAGGCACAGCTGGAGTCAAAGGGCTGCCCATTGACAGTGCAGCATACTGAGGCTTCGGTTTTACTGTTCTTCATTGTTGTGCTCCATTTTTAAGAATATGCTCAAATCCTCTCCTCTCTTGCCTTCTCACAGTAAAAAGAAGTGATTTCTTTTGATATTTACTTCCACATTCTAAAGAAGAGTATTTTAGATGCTACTTAAGTTTTCACTTCAATTATGTAGGCTCCTGTAAGTAATTTCTTTTTTTTTTTTTTTGGGTCCGGTCGTGGGGTCCGAACTCTGGGTCTGGGCGCTGTCCCTCAGCTCTTCAGCTCAACTCTCGTGCCCTACCACTTGAGCCACAGTGCCACTTCCAGCTTTTTTCTGCTTATGTGGTGCTGATGAATTGAACCCAGGGCCTCATGCATGCGAGGCAAGCGCTCTACTACTGAGCCACCTTCTCAGCCCTCCTGTAAGTAATTTCTATGGAAACTGGCTGTGGTGTGTGGGGGGGGGGGGTGGGGAGGGAGAGCACTGAGGTTTAAACTTAAGGACCTCCTGCTTGCTAGACTGGGCCTCTACCACTTAAGCCTTACCTCAAGCACTGTGTGGTAAAGAGGCTTGAACTTAAAAGGGGTCATGTTTTTTGCTAAGCTTTGTTTTCCTCAAGGCAAGCTTGGTTTTTGTTGCTTATTTTCAAGATAAGAGTCTCTCAAACTTTTCTGTGTGGGCTGGCCTTGAACTGTGACACTTCTGTTTTCAGTTCCCCCAGTAGGTAGGATTATAGGTGTGAGCCACAGGCGCCCAGTCATTGTTCCTTTCTTCCCCTTTTTAGAATTTTTGTTTGTTGTGAGGTTTGAACTCAGGGCCTTGGTTGCTGTCCATAAGCTTTTTTGCTCAAGGTTAGCACTCTACCACTTTGAACAACAGCACCACTTCCGGTTTTCTGGTTGTTAATTGGAGATAAAAGTCTTATGGATTGTCCTGCCCAGGCTGGGGTGCGTGGGGGCACACACACGCGCGCGCGCGCACACACACACACACACACACACACACACACACATACACCCATTTGTTTTAAGTAGGACCTCATAGCTCTGAGCTGTCTTCTGGGAATTGTTTTTCCTTAGTCCCTTGATTTTTATTTGATTAGCTGCCCTTGATTTTAATTTTTATTAGCCTTATTGCCTTCTCTTTTCTCTCTTCCTCCTCCTCCGGTCTTCCTATACAGCCCAGGCTAGCCTTGAACTCATAACACTCCTATGTCAGCAACCCCCCCTCCCCCCCTCCCCCATGCTGGGATTATAGGTATGCACCTATAATGTACCCAGTGCTTACCCGATTGGTTTTCTGGAAGTCTATTATGACTTTATTCCTATGCTCTAACTCTAGAGATTCTTTACTACAATTAATGTATCAAGTGAGCTAGCAAGGCCATTTTTATGCTTCCAAAAGTGGGTGTTCTCTGTTTTCCCGGCCCCAGTGGAAACCTCTAGCTCTTAACATTTAGTCGTCACTGAGGCCACTGTCATTAGCACTTGGCACAATGTCTGGCACGTACTGAAGATGGCAAGGTTACACGCTGCTTATGGGTAGTCCTAACACTCCATAGGACAGTCTGCCAAAGTGCCCTCTCTCAGCGGATGTGCCTTTCCTGCAATGAAGGCCCACTGTGTAGACGTCCGCCCACAGTGAGGAGAGCTGGGTCTGCCTCGGCTCCCTGGAGAGGAAATTATAAGAGTATTTGTGCTCACCAACCAATCGCACTGGACACAAAAGGATATACAATGTAATAGCCAAGAGGCAAAACTATCTATTAAAGGTCTTACATTGGATTTCATATCTGTTGGATATGACAAATTGCATTACATGTCCATTAAACCAGACACGCATCCTCTCTGGAGGATGGAGGGACATAAGCACTTGGTTCACAGCATGGGAAGATTTCAGTTGGAAACATGGGCCTCCCGAGAGACAGCAGGCAGCAGCATGTTGCCATCTGTTAAAAAGTGAGCACCGGGGCTGGGAAGGTGGCTCAGTGGTAGAGTGCTTGCCTTGTATGCCTGAGGCCCTGGGTTCGATTCCTCAGCACCACATAATTAAAAAGAAAAAAAAGCTGGAAGTGGCGCTGTGGCTCAAGTGGTAGAGCGCTAGCCTTGAGCTGAAGAGCTGAGGGACAGTGCCCAGGCCCAGAGTTCAGGCCCCACGACCGGACCCCCCCAAAAAAAGCGAGCACCAACACAGCCACCCTGGAAGTCAGAAGGTAATCCTACAGATGAACTCAGGAGGATCTCCTTAGAGAATGCTAAGGACAGTTTCAAGCTTTGTGTTGGAAAAGATGCCACAGCAGGCCTGGTGCAAACCAGGAGGACAGGAAGCAGATAGGAGAGGGCTGAGGTGGAGGTACTGAGGAGAATCAGCCAGCACTGACACCATCTTCCCCTCTCCAAAGGACTATAGGTGGGAAGACAGCACTGGAAGGTGAACTGGCTCAGCAGGAACACACTGTTTCTTAAAGGCAAAGCTTCATCCTCTTAAGATTCTAATAGTTGCTCATGAAGAGCTAAGAAACAGATTGACCAAGACATGGCCTTCTGTGGTCCTCTTCTTGATCTCTGGGTTGAATTTTCTACAGTCTAGGATCTAAGCTTAAATGCTATCATTTCCTCCTTTACCTGGTGTCTCAGAGATGGCAGAAGACACTTTACACCAGGAGTTTACACCCCAGTCCTGGAAAGCTTTCTACATTTACATACTTCTCTTCTAAATCTATGTTGTGTGGTTTTAAACCCAGTTTCTTCAGAATCAGCAGGATGCAAAACCTGGCATCCTGTGTGATTGGAGGTCACCACTAAGTATATGCTAACAGGGAGGGGGCAGGCAGTCTTCTGCATGGATCCCCAATCAATAGCATCACAGCGCTGGCAGCTCAGAGTGAATGAATATGCAGGGCCTCAGAACAAAGGTAATATCATAATTTGCTCTCCCTGTATCTTTCACCTCAAAGCCTTCAAAGAACCTTCTGGAAACCTAGTGTCATCAGTAGGTTAGGAAAGCAAGGGAGTAAGTAGGTTATATGATGGCCCCAGGTCACAAAAAGGTAGAAGCAAGTACAGAGAGCAACTCCCCAGAACTCCATGCTAGGTACCTGATCTTGCTTGCTTTCAGTGAGTGAGGGTCAGAGTTCTAAATATTCAGAGAACACGTGTTCCTGGCCGTTGCTGATTTCTTTCTTTATGAGACTTTTATTTAAAGGGAAGACCTTTTCGACAGTGGAGCAGAAAAGCAGTTCCTAGGAAGGACGCCTACTGCTGCTACACAAGCCAAGAGAGCTGGGGTAACTGGGCTTTGTCGGTGTTTTTTTCCACACCGACTGAGCTTAACTAAAGCTCAGCAAACTCAATTCAGTTATTTTACGAAACAAGAGAATCTTAAGGAAGACTGTTTTCCATTCACATGCCTACCATAAAGGAGATGCAAATTTCTTTGTTCCAGATGACATTATGTAGTTGCCAAAAAAAGAAAAGGGAGAAAGTCAGCTGCACCTTTAGTTGAGGAAAACAATGTCTCAATTCTAGAAGCAAAAACCAAAACACTTCATCTTTAGACAGTCTCAGCCTTGGACCCCAAATCAACTGCCAGTGACGATGACTTGACAGAGGAGAGCTTGGATGGGCAAACTCCAGGTGTGGCAGCTTTGCTTTGCTGGGGCAGGGCTGGTACAGGAGGTGGTCTCGCCAGGCTTGGTGCTGGTACAGGAGGTGGTCTCGCCAGGCTTGGTGCTGGTACAGGAGGTGGTCTCACCAGGCTTGGTGCTTGTATGAGGAGGTGGTCTCGCCAGGCTTGGTGCTTGTATGAGGAGGTGGTTTTGCCAGGCCCACCCCCAGGTAGGCAGGCCAAGGACAGGTAGGAACGGCCTGCTCAACTCCCACACGTCACCATATGTTACTCTACCTTTAATTACTTTAATTTTTACCTTTGGAATATAGGCAAACAAGCAGCAGCGCAGCAGTGGTGACTAGTTTACACTGGAGCAGACGCGAGGCGGAAAGACATTAATTGAGTGCCAAATTGAGCAGTGAGTCACCATTTGCACATATCTGTCAACCTGCTAACAGGGTAATAACTTGGAAAGATCGCAGTTCCTATTTACATTACCAGAGCCTTTCGAAAACTGAGGTTCTGCATGGTTCTCCTTTATTCAAGCACTCGGCTGATAAGCCATCTTGATAGTCCAAGAAGCCATCTAGAAACACAAACTTCTAGAAATCTCAGGTTCTGATTAAGGCATGAATCATAACTTCAGTGTTTCCAGGCAGAAGCTAACTTTCAAGTCAGCAGGGAGTCGCGTTTCCCTGTCCTGCTCCTAATGAGAGTCATATGCTCAATGGTGTCTGACCCTATCTTGTCCAGGACAAAGCAAGTTAACTCATCACTCTACTATGGGGCTTCACATGCCACCTCAGCATCTGCAGCATCAGGAAGACCCACTCCATTCTTAGATGTGTGTATGTGTGTGTGTGTGTGTACGTGCACACGCACGTGCACGTGAGCATGCATACTAGGCTTGAACACTGGGCCTGGGCACTGTCTCTTAGCCTTTTCTGCTCAAGGCTGGTGTTCTACTTGAGCCACAGCTTCACTTCTGGCTTTTTGGTGGTTAACTGGAGATAAAAGCCTCACAGACATTCCTGCCTAGGCTGGCTTTGAGCCTGAATCCTCAGATCTCAGCCTCCTGGGTGGCTATGATGGCAGGCACCAGTGCCCAGGCCTGCCTTTTGTTTTTCTTCAAGAAGCTTATTTGCTTCTTTAAATGGCCTTAATAGGTGATCCAAAGCACAGCGGCACTCCAGAGTCCCCTCCGATCAACATCCCTGGGGATCCAGAGCTCCCACGGTCACGGTGCCTGCACCAGGTGGTCTGCAAGGACACCCCAGGCCCAGGCTTGGCAATCCTCTCACAACCCCCAAAGGCATCTT